ATTAAATTAAACAAGCAACATCAGTACGTTCATAACCAAAATAACGAGGTCACAATCAAACTAACTACAAATTAATTCACAACAGACCTTGAACACAAGTTACATCGAACATTGGGAGGAACTAGTATGATACTAACCACAGTAAGCTCAAATCCAAGCTTATAAATTGCAACCTAACACCAAATCATGAAAATAAACTATTTCCCTTTAAAATTATTATAAGCATAGACAAGAATAGCAATGAAAATTGAGTTATCAATTTACAAAGGTCAAGCTTATACATTCCTCCTCCCATCCTCTCCCTCCCTAGTTTGTTTTTTCTCAATTCTTTCAAAATTCATCTTTTACCCCTCCCTCCCTCTCTCCTCTCTAAAAACTATTTCTTTCGATGATAGTTGACAACTCGCACCGTTTAACCCTCCCATTCTAACCCTCCACCTCCTACTCCTCACTCCAACAAAATAAAATTTTTATTATAAACAATACTTTTTTACTAAAATTAATTTAATATTTAAATCTATTAACTATTAAATGGATTTTAAATAATTAGAATGATAAAATATATTAAAAAATTATTATTATTATTTAATAAATTAAAAATCTCGCTGCCCTTCATTTTCTACCTTATTCATTTATCTTTTCTTGCATTCATTTCAACTTCAACCTCAAAATTTCTCTTTTTTTCTTCAACTTCAAACTTCACATATTTAAAAATGAAAAACAAAAATAATTCACAAACTTCAAACTAAATATCAACTAAGATGCTATGGTTCTTTTTCCTTCATAATGTTTTGCAAACTCTACAAATAGGAAACTGGTGTCCAACCATGTGTGCACAATGAAAGACAAAATTAGAGATAGAGAAATTACCAAATGGAGAGGGCGACGACGACATAGCAAATCGGACGTAGGGGCTGTGGTTCGTGAGGGCGCATCAAATCGCTGCGGGGGGAGGGGGATTGGGATCTGAAATTTCGCAAGGCAGAATGGGTAAGAAGAAGGGCTGGATTTTTTTAAGGCAATCTTTGGCAACAAAATCAATTTTGTCGCCAAAATATTAAAACTCCGTCGCCAATTCCCCCTAAACGCTACGTCTTAGTTTTGTTGAAAATGTTGGTGGCCCGCTTTTCACGACGAAATAAATTTCGTCGCAATTTGCTACATCGTGAAAAGTCACTTATGGCGATGAAAATTTTGTCGCCATAAATAGTATTGTCGACGAATATTAATTCGTCGCTAGAAGGGGCTTTTCGCGACGAATTTGATCGCGAAAACTGGAAATTCTTGTAGTGACTCACACAAACATAAATGCCTATGAGACGAGAGAGGCTTAGCAAAAACAATATCAATCGGATCACCAGAACAGGAACTCCAATGCACTAGAGCAATAATGACAGTGTGGCAAAATGAAAGTTATATTTGTTTAGTACAAAATATAGGGGTGGAAATTCAAATTCACGATCTTCATCGAAAATAAGTGTCTTTATCAGTTGAGTTTCAAGCTGGTTCTAAATGAAAGTTATAGATGCAATTGTAACAACTCCAATAATTTAGGGCAATTTTTGCATTCATCTTCTTTTAATATATAAAAGGTTTAAATATTATTTGTGTCATTCCATTTTCATTTTCTAGTTATTTGGGTCCTTGTACTTTTTGCTTTCTTCCATTTTTGTACTTATACTTTCCTAATGTTTGTTTGAGCTATGTAATTTTAAAAATTGATTGTTTTGGTCCCTTCATTTTCTTGTTTATTTCATTTTTTACAATAATTCTTAACACATCATTACATTGAATAAATTTATTGAAATATAGCAATAACTTTGTATTTAAAAGGTTTCCATGTTGTATAGAATTTGTGTTAATTTCTCGCCAAAAAAGGGACAAAAGTAGTCACTTTGAAAATATAGAGACCAAAAAAGAAGTTTGAAAATACATAAACTAAAATGAACAATAGTTGAAAGTACAAGAGTTAAAAGAAACAAAAACTACAAGTTTTTTTTTAGTACAACATGTAGGGATGGAGAATCAAACTCACAACTTTTTGGTTGGAGACATATACCAATAACCATTGAGCTATGCTATGTTCGCTTTGGCATGAAAAGTACAAGTTTAGTCTATGAACTTTCAATTTTGTATCTAGTAAGTCATTGAACTTTGAAAAATGTCTAATAGGTCTCCAAACTTTCAATTTTGTGTCTAATATATCCTAGATCTATTTGAATTTTTTTTTTAAATAATGGATCTATTAGGGATTAAATTGAATTTTGTGTCTAAGACCCTCGATTTTAAATTTTGTATATAACATATTCATGAATTTTAGAAAATATTGAATAAGTCAATGACTTGTTAGACACAATTGATAGTTCAAGGACATATTACACACAAAATTGAAAGTGTAGATACCTATTAGATACTTTTTAATATTAAGGAAACACAAACTTGAAAATTTACGACCACGTATTGTTTCTTGTTTCTCATTTCTGGTTTACTCTTTTTCAATTAAAAAAAACATAATTACTTTTGTAACTATTTTTTGTTTCTTATTCATTATTTTTTAGTGAAAAAAGAAAATAGGAACATGTTTGACTATTTCTTATTTTTTATTTTCTATACATTTTATATGAAACTTAATTTTTCAAATTAAATATTCAAAAAAATTTATGTTATATTTTTTTATATTTATTTTGCATTTTATTAGTAAAAAACAATCCAACAATACTTTATATCTATGTTTTAAAAAACTAGAAATAAAAAAGTTGATTTTGTTGTTTTAAAAAAATCTTCACAATTTGGGAACGCTTCTAAAAATGAAAGATGAAAAACAGAAATAATTACTGGGCTCCATTTAAATAACTATTTTGTTTTCGTTTTTCTGTTTCAAAAAATTAAGCTTAAAAATCATTAATTTTACCTATGTGTTCATTTTGTTATATAATTTTTATAAATATCTTCAAAATCTAGGCCAAATTTTTTTTTTAAAAAAGCTTGGTGTTTGTTGAAGGAGAAATTTCGGCTAATTACTAAATGTCACGTCACAAAATTAAAATTACATTTAGACCAATGATAAATTACATGTGTCCTAGATTAATTTTAAAATCGACGAATCAAATTATGCCACGTGTCTCTTGGTTGTCCGATTAAATCAACCAATTGAACCAAATTATAAGGAGATTGGGCCCAAGTCCATGGCCCATACAAGACCCACCAAAACACTATAAACAGTGGGGTCACCTCTTATTTGAGACATTCGAAAAGATCCAGAAGCATTGGAGATTCAGAGCATTTGGAGCATTAGAGTCATCTACAACCATTATGCGAAGCATCCAGAACTAACGAAACTCGAAGAACGAAAGGTCCGAATTTCGTGAAGCAAGCCGAAGACTTCATCAAGCCACAAACTTCACCAAACATCAAGCTTCACAGTCGAACACTCTAAAGATTCTTCAATACGCCGAAAGCTGAAGACACAAGCGATAAGCTTACAAGCCCTCGAATTGAAGTTCACATCTGAGAGAATTAATTAGAAGATTATACATTAGAGATTGTAACACCTACATACATAAATACAAATACAAGTTCCAAATTCGAATTATTTCTCTTTGTTGAATTTCTCGTCGAACAGTGTGATAACCATTTTGTTTTGGTTTCTTATTTTTGAAAATTAAGATCGTAAACACTACTTTTTACCTAAATTTCTTTAATATGTATCTACTTTTTAAAAACATTTTTGAAATCTAAGCTAAAATTTGAAAACTATAAAAAATACTTTTAAAAAACTTGTTTTTGTTTTTAAAATTTGGTTGTGTCTAATAAAAGATAAAACATATTAAAAAAATCGTGAGCCAATAAGCATGATCTCCAAAGACAAAAACAAAATGGTTATCAAACTGAGACCGACTTTCAAAAAATTTGTTTTTTATTTTTAAAATTTGACTAAGAATTCAAATATATTTTAAATGGAGAACAATAAAATTGTACAAAAACAAGCATAATTTTCAAAATAAAAAAAGCAAAAATAAAATGGTTATCAAACAACCTCTGAATAAATAGGTTATAAAAAAATACAAAAACAAGAAACCGACATGTTATCAAATAGGCCTGGGAGGTTAAACTTGTAGTTTCTTTTTAAGTACAATAAGATATGAGTTTGTGATTCAAATCTAATATTTTTAGTCCGAAGAGATACTTTAACTTGTAGTTTCTTTTTAAGTACAATAAGATATGAGTTTGTGATTCAAATCTAATATTTTTAGTCCGAAGAGATACTTTAACTTGTAGTTTCTTTTTAAGTACAATAAGATATGAATTTGTGATCCAAATCTAATATTTTTAGTCGGAACTAGTTGAACATGAAGTATAATATATAATATACTAAATGATATAAAGCTAACCCTTTTGTTGTGTTGTTAGAGGTGCCTCTCTTTGGTTCTCCATGGTATCAACTATCATTATTTCTCTTTCCCTCGTACGTTCTTCAGTTTTTTCACGTCTCCGCTGCCTCTTCCTGTGCCTGTTACAGCCATCTCTCACACTCCACTGACGGCGATTCCTCAGAATATG